CCCCCCCCCCCCCCCGCACACACACACACTTCATGAATGAGGGATGTGAATTTTTAGCCTCACGAAACCATCTTTTAAAAATGGTTATTACTGGGGCGCCTGGGTGGCTCAGTCTGTTAAGCGTCCGACTCTTGACCTCTCAGGTCATGATCTCGCAGTTCATGGGTTTGAGGCCCGGGTCAGGCTCCGCAAGGATAGTGCAGAGTCTGCTTGGGATTCTCGGTCTCCCTCTCTCCCTGCCCATTCCCCGCTCACTCGCTGTCTCTCGAGAATAAGTAAACATTTTAAAAAGTAAAAATGGTAATTACTATGTCTGGTTTTAGAGTGCAGACTTAATACATCTTTATTGTAGCCCCGGCGCCTGTTGTCAGTTACCACATTCCTTTAGTTTTAGTCCAGCCGAAAATGCTGACCAGGTGGTACACATTTCTAGCACAATTCATGGTATTATGAAAAAAGCAAGCAGGAAGAGGAAGCTGGGAAGGCCGATTGATTTACCCTGGGTTTGTATTGGGGCTGATTGACACCCGTCTGGCACTCCATGTACCAGGGTGGAGTGGTTAGTCATTACGCAGACACTTGGGGCTCAGAAACAAGTGTGCTCAGGTGTCGGCTGTGGAGAACTGGTGTTGGCCATTTCTAATATAAAAGCTTCAGTTTAGGGCTTGGGTGTAACACCCAGGCAACATCAAAAGCGACGAAATACCGCCTCCCATTTTAGAGGGCTTGCTAATGGCCAGGCCCCTAGGTATCCGTGATTTCTAAGCCTTACCTCCAACCCTCACAATCCTGTTATCCCAGTTTTACAGCTGGGGGCACAGAGGGGTTAAGGAATTTACGAACAACTCACGCAGTAGGTGGTGATGCCACAGTTCAATGCAGAGGCCAGAGCTCTTACCCATTACACTCCGCCTTCCATCCCCCTCAATAAATCCCTCTGATCCCTGGGTCCTAAAACTCCCTGCCAATTTCCGGCACGTCTTGGAAGTGGAGCCGGGTGAGTAGGTCAGAGGTCTGGACACACCAGGAGGTGGCTGTGCCAGGTTAGGTTGGACATCACCCAACCCTTTCACTGACCATACGAATTGGCTTGGGACGCCCCGGACTGGCTGCCTTTGGGGCAGGCAGCCCAGCCTTGCCCTGCTAGGGACGCTGGTAAGTACGGAACAACGCCTTCCCATGGGACCAAGCCCGGCGTGGCAAATGACATTTCTTTTTTCTGAGCTGAGGGTATTTTGTACTACCTTTGTCACTGTCAAAAATCTACCTTTCGTGGCAGGGTGGAAGGGGGGCTGCCTGGGCTTTGAACAAAATCGTCTAACTGCTCATTTGTTAGTTGTATATAATTTATTTTCTTTTCACACTATGTTAGTGTTCTAGTGCTGCATAACAAATTATCACTGGCTGTTACCGGAATTCAGTTCCTTGCAGGCCCTAGTTTCCCTGCTAGCTGTGAGCTGACACAGTTGCTTGCTGTATGGCCCCCTCCCTAGGAATGTCACAGCATCGATGCTGGCTTTCTTCCCAGCCAAGTGGCATGCATCTCCCCAGCTCCCATGCTGCAGCCAGCGGGAGGGAACTCTGCTTCTAGAAGGTTCTCCTGATTACGTCAGGCCTACCTAGATCATCTCCTGCTTTGGGACCTTAGTCACCTCTGCAAAATCCCTTCAGATGACCGCCCAGAGTAGTGTTTAACTGAATAACTGGCAGAAGAAGTGTGTATATGAGGGACCCAGAATCTTGGGACACATCTTAGAGTTCTGCCTACCACACCTGCTAATGGTTAATTGCCATCAACTTTGTGTTGATTTGTTAAAAGTCCAATATATAACAGCATAATAATGACTATTTTTGTCACCTAATCAAACATGTATATAGTGCCCACTCTGTGTCCAGGCATGGCTCTCAGATTTTCATAAACATTGACTCATATAATACCTACAATAAGTCTTTGATACAGGTGTGTTGTTATGTCCAGTTTACAGCTAAGGAAAGGGCCAGAGTGGTTAAGTAACTTCCCAAAGGTCGTACAGATTTGTTGGGGACCACAT